TTGCCTGCATTTGAAGTACAGTGAAAACTGTCATTTTTGCCAAGGATGTAAATTTGAGTAAATTGGTAGAAATGTTGAAGATTTGCCCATGCTGCAAATATGTATCAAATTTGTATCAAACCATTACATTTACTTGACTTTTGCGTATCAATACCTATCTAGCAAATATATGTATTTGCCCACACTTTAGCCGACAGCGCAAATGTAATGGAAATTTGGAGCTCAAAATTTACCACATATTTGCACCTTTCGCAAACATTAGTAAATCCGTTTTTTCGTCCAGTGTAAGGGAATAGGACGCGTACTGGTCCAGGTGTGAGTGCCTGTAGAATGATGAACTGCCATAGACATGGACTAATCTTGAATACGACCCAGTTGATTGCGTGGATCACGGACGTATTCGTTCAGACCTTGAATCATGGCTTCCGTAATTGCTTCTCCCTGCAATTAACCGTTTGGAGGTCGTAACTGGATTAAGCGCGAGCGAACAGCATGCTGAACAGCAACCCCATCTCTCCAACGTCGTATTGGGCCTATACGTTCCATTTGAACGGAAAGTGGACGATTTCCCCCGTACTGATCTGATCGGCGAGAAGCGGCTAACAGATCCATTTCATCATTAGGATCCATCAGAGCCTCTCCTTGACTCGCGGTCCATTCTTCAGCTAAAACCTCGTCCAAACCATCGTTTTCAATAAGCGCGCGAATGTATGGATCCATGATACGTTTTAAAGATTGCTAGATAAGCTCCGAACAGTAAAACAGTAAAAACTGAATGACACTTTCAGAGACGCGACTTAGTTAAATGAGCTAGGAGTACGTGATTCGATTTGCATTCATGCGTCATAAACAAAGAACGTTCTAATGAGGATTTCAAAAGCCGTTCAAGGTTGCTCAAGATTGCCTAATGATCTATTTTGACTGAGTCAGCTTTACCCTTTGTTCTTTTTTTCCAATTAATTTTTTAACTGATCCCTCTATAAAGAGTCTTTGTTCTTTTTTCTAATTAATTGTGACCCTCCACAGGAATTTGATGCTAAAGGTGAAAGCACGCTCACGACACGCTTGCACGACACGCTTAGCGTGCCGTAGATCACGGATATGCGCATATTAAATTGAAAAAACAAAGACAGACACACTTGCCTTTGTTTTGGTAAATTTAACACGCTAGACCTTTTGTTTTTTTGTAGCGTGCCATATGTCACGGTAAGTGTGCGAATTATAGCACGCTTAGCGTGCAATTTGGGTAAGACACGCTGAACACGCTTAATTATTAAAACTGCTAAGATAATAAAAATGGCTTGGGTTTTCAGCGGATTTAATCAGCATTGATAACTGGTCGAAGTCAATCAAATATACCAATTGAGACTGTTTTGGAATTTGATCGTAACCGCAGCCATTTGAAAATCACCACTTAATGGTCGTCTAGCCTGGAATTAACGCGCGATCAGTGTAAACCAATTCCTCCGGCTGTCGGCTGTCGACCGGAATCGCAAAGAGGCCTGCTATCGCAAGCGAGGCACTGAAGTTATGTCGCCTGAAAATTATAGTTATGCCACCGGAATACTTATTAGCAGTAATGCACAGAGAAATGAAGTTGAATAAATTAGTTTAATATATTTCTTTAAGCCATGCTGAGACGAACGAAGGTAATTAAATCGGAGAAACAAAAAACTGTCTAGAATTTCCTATAGGTTGAGGAAGGCTAAACATTTCTAGATGACCGTTCCATGCATGTACAATTTTCGAAGTTTATCTAATAAATTCCTTACGATTTCTGAAGTTTAATTTTTTCCATTTCACTCCCAAGGTTAAGCTATTTTTCATAGAGAAAGGAATCCTAAAATTTTCGGAACCGATAATACGATAAAATTCTCACTTTCCTAAAACTTTCAATTGGAAGCTAAATTTTTCGGGAAATAATGCTGAAGCCCTTATAATTTCGAAAAGACTGAAATTGTCCTGGGATGCTAGGATGCATTTAGGAGGAAATCGCAGTTTGGGTGCCCCTGACGAACGAAGCGCTATCAATCATAATTTATGTGAAGATATCTCGTTACGCTATTCTAAGACAAATCAAGCGCTGTAAACGTGTACTATATCTCGTTCTTCACAGGACGAAAAAAACAAGAATCTGTAAACTAAAAACACTGTAGAATACTAGTAGACTCCGTTGCGAGAAACACAGAGGCAAACGTGTTTCCGTTAGCGGGTACATCATGGTAAGCCCGTTTTTCCATGTTTCCGTCGCTGCGTTCATAACAGACGAAACAATAACGATAATTCAATAGTACTATAGGATATATTTCGTTTTTTAAAACTTTGATGAGACAAAACAAGCGCGATAAGTTTCAGGTAATACCATGCTAGGACATGTTGGAAGTTGAGCATGGTGAAATTTCAGGACTCATGGGTGAGGATTGCGGCGACGTAAATCTTGTGCCATAAGTTTGATTCGCCCTCATTTATGGAACAATGGGATAATGTTCGTACAAAAATAAACAATAAGTGTAGAGGGAAAAGAAGAACAGTCGTAAAAAGGCTTCAAAGGCAAATTTAAGTTAAATTAAGAACTTTCTGAGATAAGGTGATTGATTTTTTTTTCCGTGAAGTTAAGATTGTAATACTTAGTGTACGTATCTTTCTCTGGCATGGCGTTTGTTTTGTTTCTCATATGCAATGTAATAGGAAAGTGGCATGGTAATTTTTCACTCTAAGGTTAGCATTTTGTAGATTATTTCTTTAGAAATTAGTTTCTGTGTAAAAATTTGGTTGTAAATATAAAAGCTACTGTTTTTTATGTCTTATCTTAAATTCCGTTTTGTTTTAATTTAGTCCTCAAGGCACTACCAAGTTTCAGGAGGATGACAAATCCACTCGTGCATCAACGTAAAATAGGCAGTTAAAAGACGCAGTAAACTTGCGCAACATACTAAAAAAATATTTTCACGCCGCTTATAGGTCTGCTACACAGCCGTTTTCAGTGGAAGGAACGTTGCGTGACGACACTAAAACGGCCGTGTAGCAGACTACTTAAGACACTTAAATAATTGTAGGCGGTAATACTTCTGATGACGCTAATGATGGTTGTAAAACAAACGGCAAACAAGAAAGACAACAGGATGATTACCGAATTTGGACAATAAGACTGAAGCATACGCGATGTACTATTTCAAGAAGAACAGATTTGCATACATTGTTTAAATGCCGGCTTCGCTTTTTGTGTTATTGCCGGCCGGATCAATTAAGCAACATTGCAACCGTACTGGAATTTTGGTACATCTAGATTTAATTTGATCACTACGATCCTTGCAATCGCTAAAAAATAAATACAATTTAGCGATCCTGGCACTTGACCGCTGTTTGATCGCTGCGATTGCTGCGAAAGATCCGAAAGATCACTGTTTCTGAGAAAATTGCAAATGTGCTATAAATTAAGGAAAATTAAGATAACCTTTGCACAGCTTCGTCGGTAAACATTTCTGGAAAGAACTTTGATTTAGCAATGCTAATAAAGTTCTACCCATAAATCCACTAGGTCCCACCATTCACTGTTTATACTTTTCAAGCGACAACATTTTTTCAAGCAGATACTATCGCTGCGATCGATGAAGTAAAACTTTTTCTTTCTCGATAGTTACCAAAAAAGGGTGCCGTCCATAATCATTTGCGGTTCCTTTTTGTAGAGGAAATTTATTTAACTTATAGATAACACGCCTTGTGTGCTTTTGCGCACACTGAAAGCGTGTTGTATTTTTTCGCACGGGGCTTTTGTTTGAAAACTTTAACACGCTCTTTTGTTCGACTTGCTCACGCTTAATTGTCTCAAGCGTGTCCTCTGAAACAAAAGAAATTGCTAATGAGGCAAGATTGCAAGCGTGCTAAAGCGTGTTAAAATAAATTCTTTTGTTTTAAAGTGAAAGCGTGTCGTGCGCGTGCTTTCACCTTTAGCATTAAAATCCTGTGGAGGGTCACAATTTTTGACTGATTCAGCTATAATCTTTGTTCGTTTTTCTAATTAATTTTTTTTGGCTGATTCAGCCATACGCTTTGTTCTTTTTTCCCTGAGTGTTCATTTGACAAATCTCAGTTCATTCAGTTTTAAGAAAATCCCTCCCTGCCTGAGCGTTCATTTGACAGATCTCAGTTCATTTCTTTTTCCCAAAGACACAAGTAAATTACACGCAAACTCGGTAAAATGTGACAATAACTTTCTTAGTAAATGCAATGAGAGGAACGTATTTAACCGCTAGTCGGCTAAGTCCTTTTCAAAGCACTTTTTTCTTATTTACAAACTGGAACATATCAGATCCCTTCTGAATCTGGTCCAACAAAGTCATCTTGATAATCTCGAAAAAACCAAAGAAATTCTAACTTTAAGTGAGCGTAGGTTCGCTCAAAACGTTTGATCTTTGATGTAATATGAGGAAAAAAGGCTCGTCTATAAGATTTAAATCATCCAATGTTACATTTAAAACGGTAATTCGAAAATCAGTTTTCTGCTGGTTCATTTCAATCCACTCCGTAAAAGGATTACATGGTGAAAAACGAATGTCCTGTAACACTTTTCTAAAAAAACAAACCAAGAGATTGCATTACTCTATCTTCAAGAATCTCGCGTCTTTCTAAAATTGGTGTACCCCGATATAACTTAAAAATTTTCCGCCGTTCACTTTCAAAATTCACTCTTTCATAGCGGTCATGTTTCATTTGACCCTCCACGCTCAAACCTTCCACGGCAATTCTAAAACAATGAGAACAGGTTTCTCGACTAAATGAAACCCATTGGGCCGATCTACAAAAATGGCGGCTCTTAATCTGACGCAAACATTTCCTAAAAGAAAGCAAACAAACAAACATTTACAATGCTAAGCGTCTACGAATAGGCGAATAGTAATACAATCGAATTAAAGGCGCCTCCTCATTAATTGAGTTCTCCTAATTCTGTTACAATGGGCGCATCTTCCGTCTTCTCCGTACTTAGCGTACTTAACCGCAACCTACTCCGTTTTGTGACAATATGTGTTCCATCTTCGAAGTTTTAAGGCGTTTATAGTATTTCTAAAATAAAACAATCAACAAGCACGTTTAAAAACACGTTTACAGTTTAATCATATAACATTTGGTCTTCACACTTAACCAAGTGCAGTCTTTAATCCAAAATAGAGATTCCAGAATCGGTCTAAAACACAACATTCACTAAAGTAAATCGTCAATTTGTTTCCACATTCGATTTAAAAACGCAACATCACTTGGATATATGGTTGTGTTTGAAAACATGGTTTCGATAAAATACAAATCTGCGTAGACAAACCTGAAAAGGACGCGATGTTCTTCTCTATATCTGTTTCTGTCTTGGGTATATTGCAACGCCTGTAAATCTCTGGCAGCTGGATGGTGAGGGACAAGGAAGGTCTCGGCCATAAGTCCAGGGTTGGGCACTGCTTCTAAGGCAAGCTGGTACAAAGTCTTCATCTTGAGCAATCTTCAAAGCAATCGAAGTTCTTAACACTGGGATGAGCAGAGTAAAGTGACTTAACCAAATTCACCCTTCCTTTATGCTATTCATGCCAGATTCACGCTCATTGGCGCGGAGACCACAAATGTGGAGCGGCAAAAACCCACTTACTTTTCGCCGTTCTTTCAAGTTTTAAAACGTTAGCGCACCGCTCTTTTAAGTCGGCAGAAACAATGATCCTTTTTCGCTCTTTTTCAAGTTGAACTCTTTTTGTTTTGCAATCTGTTTTAAGATGAACCGAAAAAATTTTATTTTCAACGATGGCTTCGCCTTTTGAAACAGAGGGAACTTTCCTAACGCAAGAACAAGCAGATCACATTAACGAGAGGCATGTTTCTAAAAAAGAACATGTGAAAACCTCTAAGTTTAAGTCAGACTTTGATTTAGTCGATCTGTTAAAGAATTTATCGAAACTCACCTGGGAACAGAACAACGAAGATGTGTGGATCGTAAACGAGGGCTGGAAGGAAGGTCATGGGCGCTTTTATTTGTTCGTGTTTAAACTCAACGAACAAATTGGTGTGGATCCGGAAGGCTTTCCTGCCAGACACATCGCTGTGTATTACTCGGAAAAAGTACCTGGCGAGAAATGGCAAATAATATCTGCCTACCCGTTCAACTGGGCTTTCTATTCTCAATTTCTAAGTAGGAAAAACAGATCCTACTAATTGTCTTTTGACAAAACGGTTCTTTTAGGAACCACCAAATGATTAAAAGTAAATAACCAATATTCAGAAAGACTCGTTTATTTTTTATCAATCTTTCGTCGGAACACACTTAGCGTTAGTACTGACGCCAGGTAAATTTTCAATACCTTTAAGCTTACGGGTTCAATTCTGTCTTTCTCTCTTTCAGGTCTTTCTTTTTCTAAGACTTAAAAGCAAAACAGCTGACTCAGCAAACTCTCATGCAAATTTGAAGCGAACATGAATTAGCATAGGAAACCACTGACTGGAACTTATAAACTAGACACACAATGTAGGAACTTTTAGAATGCTCACGCTTTAAAGATGTCATCGAGTAAAGAGCTCGGGGAAGCTTGGTTTGGCTGTCAAGCAGAAATGAAACATATCAAGGCTGTTTTAAAACTCAAAGAAACTCATATTCTCACACTCAAAGAGTATATTCGAACCCTCAAAAGAAAAGAGATGAAAAGGCAACAAAGAGAGAAGAAGAGAGCTGCTGAGAAGAAAGAGGCAGACCTAAACAAAGTTGTCTGGATTGGGGCTGGCGAAATGGAAGCTTTATGCGCTAATTGTAAACGATTTCTTAGAAAAACGAAATAAAAATACTTGTCACTATATGCGGCTCAGTGGTGTAATGGTAACACATCTGACACTACATCAGAAGATTTCAAGTTCGATCCCTAAAAGATAAAATTTTTTTCTTTTTGAATCGATACTGCACATGCGTAGTGTGCAGGGATTAATTCTGTCCCACAAGGGTGAGCAGTGACCTTGATCTACCTATATAAGTTCATCTTTACCGATGTATAAGTCACTAAGATCCGAGCACTCTCCGAGCGCCCTCCGCCATCTTGAATTTTTGATGAGTCTTAAACAATAGAACTTTGATTGACAACTAAGAACAATAGCGGCGGCGGTGATTCCTAAATGGGCCACCAATACTACTCACGAAGTCAGTGGACGTTTTCAATACTTAAACTTTCATGCCTCATGACAATAGGTATTTTTTTTAAATTAATTTTCCCAGCTATGTAAGGTGTTTTTCAGCACTAATAGCTACCGGTCTTAGCTAGGAACCCGTCTAAAAAACCTGAATCTTTTGAAAATTCGCTATCAGTTCATTTCAATACACAGTAATTAAACTTGTACTCCTGCAGCATGACCCTGAAACGTTTAGCTGAAACTTGCACCCTGTATCTATAGTAAGAACGTTTCTTCATCTGGAACGTTTTCAAATCAGGATCCGCTGCGCAGACTCTTTCGCGAAAGTAGACTGGCCTTCTTCTCCTGTAGCCCTCGCAGGGTCGCACTCATGATAAAGCACGAGCTATCTTGTATAATACACTTTGCGAAACTGGTTTCTCTACGCTACGTAAAACCATTCACGACAGAGGAATTGTTTTCCACAAAGCTAGACTGCAAGTCTTCACGTTAAAAATTTCGGTGTGTAATAGTATCTTCAGTTAAATGCCATGCATGTAATCTTTGGTTGCGTAAAATGCAATCCGACTGGCTTTAATTTTCGAAAACATAGAATATTGCTTCGACTGAATTGGGATCAAGATAGTCTAGGATTGTGAAAGGATGTAATTAGCAGCCAACCTGGGAGAAATAAGATTCCTCCACCCAATTAATTTTCCTCCCGTACTTTTCAGATTAAAGAACCATGAAGATGAAAGTTAAATAATGATAATAATTTGATATGTATCCTCCTTTAAAAAAAACTGAAAGTGCATGACAAATTTTCGTAAGTGTCTTCTCTAGCACTTTTCGCCTGTTATCGTTGGTGGGCCATTGGTGCCATGACCGTACGCCCAATAACAATCGCAGAGTAATTGAGAATGATACTTACATAACATAATTAGGCGAAAGGTGGTCTGTAAATTGAAGGCAATCATATTCATGACTGGTTTGCAATTCAACACTAATGACATCAAACTCCCCGGTTGAAGCTAGCTTTTTTTGTCTCGCTGTTAAACACCTTCGAGACTGTATGATTGATTACAAGCTAACACAATAGATATAAAGGGTTCATGACATGCGGAAATTGAAACTGCTTGCATGATTTAAATGACAGTTTTTGAGTTTCAAAAGAATCATGGTTGGAAGGCGTACAGAAACACTAACAAAGAAACACCTGCCCTTGTTTTTCCATTCAGACGACATGATTGTACACCGGCATTTATCACAGTCATGTTACTTTATATCATTGACTGCATAATAGTTGAAAAGGTTATGGAAATATTTAATTTAGAACGTCAAACGACGAATAGAATAGGAATCAGAGAATAGGAAAGTAATAATCCAATTTAGTCCCGTTTTATTTAGTTCATACAATTTCATTCGCATGGGATTGATGTATAGATAAGCAGGATTGTGGGAAAACATGCTAAAGGTGTTTTCAATTCAGTATCCCTTCACGGAAGTCTATAACGCACACTATTGTGTCAGGGGTTCAAACCCGCTTATAGTTGTTATCGTGTTCCGGTTTTTTGGTTTGTGTTGTTTAAATAGATAGAAAGGAATATAGTGGTGAAAGAATGAAAGGTGGTAAATTTTAAGGTCGGTGAAAAAAATGTGAAAATGAATTAATCAGCATGCCACGAGGGTGGGACAAAGAAAAACTCTTAGTCCGCGACAGATTCGAACCTATGACCTCCGAAACACCGGGCGGGCGCTCTATCCACTTGAGCTACGGAGAACTCATGGAAAGCGGGACTATATACTAGGTTCATATTTGACACGCGTGGTGCATACTGCAGGGATCAGCAATGTCGCTGTCGTACTGTGTGGTGAAAGAATCAAAGATGGTAAATTTTAAGCTCGGTGAAACAAATGTGAAATAGAATTAATCAGCATACCACGAGCGTGGGACAAAGAAAAACAAAAGAAAAGAGAGGAATATATCATACAGGCAGTATATTTAGTTAAAAACGTCGATTGATACGTTCCTTGCTTTAAGAAATAGGGATGGTTCATTTTTCCCGGCATTTTTTAATGAAAGGTTCAAAGCATAAAACGTTGTTGATATGAATTCTTTTCGTTTTTACCTTGCAGCTTATTTTATTTTTCTCACTACTGAACTTGCCTTGCATACTATTTAATTACTTAAGAATTTCAATAAGTAATAATCAACGGAGAATTTTTACGTAAGCCCTCAAAGCTTCCACAAGAGATGTACGGGGAGACGGATGGTATCTTCTTGTTCACAGGTATATGGGACTATAACAGGGGGTGCTTATAAGCCGAAGTTTACTGTCGTGTTTTTCTCTACATCGAGCAATTTTTTTCCAACCACTCAATCAAATGGCACAAGCCTAATATTCAGGGGGTTTAAGCAAGCCGTTAAAAGCGTGTTTTAAAAAATATAGTCGAGCCGAAAACAGTAGTAATTTTATAATTTCAGTTTTGTTCACAGTAATATTTTCATGGTTTTGTATCTTTTCCAAAGTGTTCTTTTTAAGCCAGTTTTTCAAAACCTGCTCAAAACAATTCTAACAGGTTAGTGTTGTTATTTGTCCTTAAAGGACCTTGTTAATCTTTAGAACCCGATCTGAGTCGTAATGAATGATTTCCCACGAACAAAATTCTGTACGTAGCTGAAGGAAATCACTGATTGACGTAAGAGACTTATTACAGATAAGATTCCACAGGTAGTGAATTTTTTTTAGACAACTCTTGTACGGTTGTTTTTTGACATCTTTCCAACCATCGACAAACTCAATCTTTCGCACTTTTAGTTTCCAGAAACTACAGAAATCGAAAATTCTAACTTGGACGGTGTTCACGAAAATGTCACTTTAGGAAATATTTACTAAGAACATTCAAAGGGACGTTCAAAGAGCCTCATTTGCATCTAAGAAGCAGGCATAGTTACATGTTGCAAAGCCCAGAGGGCGGACACCGGCACCGATTGTTAACACTTTACCTGATCTGGCGCCAGTTGTTCATAGGGTAGATAACAATTATTCACCGAAGTGGAGGTGGCTAGCTAGCGGTGAATATTTACCGAGGCCGCGAGTTAGTATACAGGGTGTCCCAAAAGTTCATTCCTCTAATTTCATGCACTATAACTTTTGGTCAAAAATTTATTTTTACATGAAATTTCCAGAAGATGTATATTTCCCTATCGAGAACATGTATTCAGAATTTCAGTAACTGGCATACCCTTTTTGCTCTCTCTCTATATATATTTAGTATATACACACTAAGTGATCTTGGTGATTTAAGCAATCTGATTGGTTCACAATCTCGGGCTATTCAACAATATTCACCTCCTAGCGAGTGGATAATGTGTGAGCTCGGTGTTTTTCCCATTTTTTAGAGAACGATCTTTTGAAAGTCGACAAAATCATACGGATGACTTTTTTTAAGGCAATAAAAGACTTGGAAGGATTCAATACGGCATTTTTCAATTTACTGTAGCTGAGTTTTTTGCTTGATGGATTGTTTACAACTCCCGTGTATTCGCGTAGAAAAAGCCGTTTCGTGAACTCAGCTTTTTCTAACAAGAACATTTTGGCTCAAAAATCGAAGTTTATTTATGACAAAAAAATTTAAAAGGAAATGTTTGCAGAAATTTTACGTTTCAAGTAAACAGGAAAAAGAGTGATACAGGAAGACGACGTCTTACCTCGAGCAACCGAGTCGCCATTTTTGTTAGCACTTCATGCGAAGAACAACACAACAAACCCTTTTGGCTATAAACTTGGCGAGTCAACAGAAAACAACAAAGCTCTACTTTTCTTCTCAGGTAAGGAAACAGTTCAAGCTTTTAGCGGTTCCATTTAAGCCATTACGCTGTTGTTTGCGAAATGATAAACTTGTGAATTACCATGTTTGAAAATTCTGCAAAGATCTATTTTTAAACTTACGCGTTACGCATCTGTCAATCAAATCGTACTTTTTAATGGTTTCCTCTCTGATTTTGTTGAGATCGCTTCGTGTGTATATACTAAAACAATTATTCTTTTCAATCTCGGTGAATAGTGGCTTTGGGAATATTTACCTCGCCGCTTTCGCGGCTCGGTAAATATTTTGCCACTATTCACCTCGATTTCAAAGAATAATTGTTAAATATTTATTATATGGAAACGAGTGTTTTACTGGAAAATATACCACTCGTAAAATTCATAAAAACTACATCCGAGACCCGAGTGGTTTATTTTGGATAATCTCACACGTGAGTTTATCGATGACGTAATTTTTGTAATTTCGCTCTATTATTTTATTAATGTCATTTTGTCTATATAATAAAAAGAACATTACACGGCGGCTTAAAGATATGAATTTTATTTTCTGGCGGCAACAACAACATTTTACTCACTCGCTGCGCTCGTTCGTAAAATATTGTTTTGCCATTCGAAAATAAAATTCATATCTTCGCGCCACCGTGTAATATCCTCTAGATATCACATTCTCTAGCCGTTACTGCATGAAGTGGGATACAGCGTGTAGACCCACACATGATCCACTTTGAGTTTTTTTATCACCTGGTGCGCGGGAGCCAGGCAGCTGAAAAAATATATTTTGGGCATTCATCGAGAAAAGATAATCATCCCAGCCCCCTTCCACAGCAAGGCTTTTGTACTTCTTTACAAATTTGAGACGAGCTGGGCGTTGCTTGGCAGACTAAGCAAAGCGTTTTTTTTTGGCTATCTTAGGGGCCTCTAATTTTATACATTTTAAACAGCTTTTCATGACCCTTTCTGGACTAACTATGTTACAGCTTCCTCGTGGAGTCTCCTATTTTGAATCTAGCCTTCTCCAAAACTATTTCACCTGCCTTAGTCACAACGTTTGGTCTTCCCCCTCGTTTCTTGTTTTTAAAATCTTCATTTCTCCATGTTCATTTTACCACCCAATTCCACCGCCAAACTGATGCTGAACAGTTTCTGGGGCAAATTCGGGGAGCGTATCAACAAACCCACCACCGTCACTGTCAAAGACCCCGCCCATTTGTTCAATCTCATTACCGACGCTGCCCTCGATATCAGCACTCTCCGCCTCTGTACTGACGACATCTTGGAAGCGTCTATACCAGTGTCCAAGACAATGCCGTCAAAGGCACCAAGACCAACATCTTTGTGGCGGCCTTCACCACGTGCCATGCTCGGCTCAAGCTCTATGAGTCTCTGAACACCCTCCAGGAACAAGTCCTTTACTATGATACGGACAGTGTGATCTACCGATGGCGTCCCAATCAACCCTCCATCACCACGGGTGATTTTCTGGGGGACATGACGGATGAATTAGACGGGGACGTCATCACCGAGTTTGTTTCTGGGGGCGCTAAGAACTAGGGGTACGCGACACGACAGGGCAAAGTGGTGTGTAAGGTACGCGGTTTCACTCTAAACGTCCGCAGTTCTGCTATTCTCAATTTTCACACCATGAAAGACAATATTCTCTCAGAATTAGACTCGCCTCAGGACTCTCGCCGAAATTTGAACATTGTCACTCCTCATTATTTCAAACGGGATTTAGAGAAGAAACAAATTCAAGTGGTTCCGTGCGTCAAGCAGTATGGGTTAGTGTTCGACAAGCGTGTGATCGACGTGGCCACCAAATCGAGTTATCCCTATGGTTACGAGAGGATTGGGGATGAACTCGACTTCCTGTTAGATTTGTAAAGGGCGTGACGTCACTCGGACCTCACACACGTCCCGTTTGTAACCAGGCTACTGTCGAGATTTATTTAAAAAAGATGATTTTGACTTCCATACAGTGTGTTTTTCATAGACTTCCGGTGATGTGAGGGGTCTGGGGCTTCTTTTCATGGTTTGCGCATGCGCAGTAGGTCTACGCGGAAATGCGCTCACATGAATGCGGGGGACCTGGGGAGTATTTTGGCGGTCTGCGCATGTGCCTACCATCCCATTCACGTGACTGCGCAGGCAAAAGCATTGGACCGAACTGCGCATGCGTCCAACCACCACGCAACTAGGGGTCTTCCTATGAATGCGTATGTTCTTTACCCCATGAGGTCACGTGAACAAATTGATGACGTACCCTATGCTAATGAGTCACGTGGCCCTCTCAAACAATAGTTTCTGTTGTCTTTGCTGCGCTCTGATTGGTTACTCCCTGAAGTAGCCCTATTGACTACTGCTGTTAATGCGCGTGTTTTGTCAAGACTGTTTGATAATATGCAATTGAGTACTTTGCCGAAAGATGTTTTTCCGTCATCCCTCACCTTGGAGGTTGTTTTGTTTTCGGAGCAAGTTCTCTTGTTACATACATACAGTCACACACAGTTTATTAAAGTGAGTTCTCACTTAGTTAAAAGCTGTTTTCCATGTAAGCTCGCAAACTAAATAATAAATAAATCAATACAATTAAAATACTTATTCTAAAAAAAAATTAAAATACTCATTTTAAACATCATAGCGAGAAAGCAACTATATATTAACATAAAATACGATTCTGGATAATACTGGGTCTAATTTGTTACAAAAATTTTTCATAATGAGAGTGGAAAACAGAACTTGCTTCCATCCATTCCTTTGATAAGCCTGCAACAGGAAAGCAGAGGTGTTCTGTTTGACCTTGATTACAGTTAAATGCACAGCGCAAATCGCCTTTTGGTTAAACACTCTTACCGTAGAATCGTGTTACTTTAGACTTGTTTCCTCCGATAGTCTCAGTCTCGGTCAATCTCACTTCAATCGGAGGTCGCGTTCGCATTCTAAGGTAAGCAAAGACCATTTGCGCTTTGAATTTAATTGCGTAATATTGAATGTCACACAACTCATCTGTTCCCTGTGGTGTCTCCGTGTCGTACCGAAACCCTCCTTACCCGCGTCCTTAAATGTTACTCTACTTTTTGGGGAAATTTGAAGCCAGCCCGGCTCAGTTGGCTGGCTCGGCTGCTCTCTCATTACCCTATTGCAATTTTCCACCTCTTTACTTCTGTTTGTAGGAAAATGCGATTGTAGTCAGCGATAATTGCAACAACTGAAGGTCAGCTATGCAGTCTTAACATACAAAGTAACACACAACCGATCAATATCTGTTTCAGGGAGAGTGCTACCAAAGATTAGCCATGTTAACATTTTTTTTTGTGCAAAAAGGGCTATTCTATAAACAATTGAACTCCTGAAATATTCCTGGACTTTACAGGTTTCTTTGTTTAACAGTTTGAAACCATATTAGCTGTGGTAAATCTACAGACTTTTTACCTAGACGACTTGTGGACTACCTAGGGAAATTTGATTTTTTAAGTGTGGCCGATTTTTCCCTAGGTAACTTACCCAGGGGAAATTTTATCGTCTGCGACTTGGATATGTCCCAAGAACAATGGAGTCTCCCTTAACAGCTACCAAAGGGATAGCTATAAGGAAAAATGAAATTCCCAGGTTGCTAGCCAATAGACGCTCATCAGCGAAGGTCTTGATGACAGGGCGTTAGATCTCTCACATCATCACTTACTGACGTGAGCGGCCTCGATCGAGTTAATAACTGCTTCAATTTTAGTAAGTACGGTTGCCAACTCTTGATAGGACAACAACGCCTTGCCTAAAACCTTGCGAAGAAAAACATTACGCCAAGGGGAGCGTTCGACGATGAACCTCCATTTGATTCCCGCAGAGGTCAATTTGGCTACAGTGGCCTATCGGCGGACGACTCTTGTGTGAACAACTGTTGGATCTTGCGGTCGGCACTCTTGAACATCTTTGCATTGTCGGACCAAATGGTGCTACAGAGTCCTCTTCTACTGATGATACGAATCAACGTCCAGAAGAACTCATTGGTTGATAAGTCTAGATGAGTCATGCGAAAAGAGGCGCTCGCGAAAATGCAAATGTAAGCCTTCGTTGAGGTGGGACCCCATAGTACAAACAACGGCCCCGCGAAGTCTATTCCGACGTGTGTGAAGGCTGGAGACGATGACACCCTCTCTGACGGCAATGGTGCCATCTTTTGTGAACATGGGTCGACGAGTTGACGTTGACAATCAAGGCACTTTCCCGGAACTCTCTTACTTCAGGACGTCCCTTGGCGAGCAAAATCTCTTGTTGTAGGACCGAAAGGGTGCTCTTTGGTCCAGCATGAAGCAGCTGCTCATGCACACTCTATATGATCTTTTCAACCACTGGATGCCCATGCGGTAAGATAATTGGATGTTAGGTACCCTCAGGTAAATACGAGTACTGCAATCTTCCTCCTACCCGTAGCAACCGACCTCTCTTGTCATAGAAGGGATCCAACTTCGAGATAGCACTGGTGTTTGGCAAAAGAATGTTTTCCTCATGCCTTTCATATTCTGCTTGGTACACCTCCCATTGTATCTGTCGGTACCAGTATAACTTGGCGTCTTGTAACTCCTCGACTGACAGTTCTTTGCAGCCTGAACTTGTTTTTGACTTGAAAGCTTGAACACCTCGAAGTACAACTGTACATATATGCTGTCACTTGTACTAAGTTTTGCCATCGCTCATATTTACACGAATCGATCACTGGTTTCTTGGCAATCTCCGCACAAGCTCTTGTCTGTTTATGTTTTCTCTCCTTCTCTACAGAGTCAGATAATTCATTTGGCAGCTCTCGTTGATCCACATGTCAATACGTCCGCAAGATTGTTCTCCCCTGAGCAGTGTCTCCAATGCTGTGGTTCCCAGGTGGACTGAATCTCAGCAACGCCGTTCGCTACGATTGTCTTCCGCTAACAACCTGAACCTCTGATCCACTGGAGAGTCGCCATGCTGTCGGTCCAGTACACTACCCGATCTATTTTGAGTGTTAGGGATTCTGCAACGAACTTCAGTAATCTTGCATTAGTGAAAGCCGCAAGTAACTCTAATCTTGGCAACGACACAGTCTTAGTGAGAGCCACTCTTGATCTGGACATGACATGATGAGTTGAAATATGGCCAGCTTCATCCACGCACCTGATATAGACTGCCGCTTCGCACGCCTTCGTTGAAGCGTCACCAAACCCGTGGAGCTCTACGCTCGAACTTGATTCAATGTTTCCCATGAAACAGCGGGGAATGGTGATGCAACTTAACTGTGAAAGCTCTGATTTTCACGACCTCCACTGCTCAGCAATGTCATCGTCCAAACGGTCTTCCCACTTTAAACCTCGCTGCCAAACCTCTTGGAATAACATTTTCGCCCTGATCGTAAATGATGTGATTAGTCTCATAGGATCAAAAACCTTTGAAGCAATGCTCAACAGGCTTCTCTTAGTTTCGGGATCATTAGCAGTGAGCACGCTCGCTGGAACACTGAAGATGAAACAGTCAGTTAATGCATTCCAACACATTCCCAGTGCCTTTAGCGGTTCACTTGCATTGAAATCAATGGTACTGGACTACGCCTGCTCTTGCTCGGCATTGTGGCTAAGAACTTCCTTCGATTTGCCGGCCAACTTAGATTAAATCCACCTCGTTCCATCATCTTGTCCAAGGACTGCTGCAACTCCACTGTAGCTCCAACGTCATCAGCAACGGAAAGGCAATCGTCCACGTCAGGAGCCCATCAAATGAAGAGTCCATCTCCCATACAAGCCCTTGGAGTAGACCGAGTAGATTTATAATTAGAACGGTTCCCAGGGGAGAATTTGCTCGCCGACAGTGAGAAGAGCCAGTCATAACGACGAAGTGACAGTGCTATTTTCCTTCATCAAACAGCAGGAAATACGGTGTTGATAGGCCAAACACAATCAGAAGCTAGTTAGTCCATCAACTGAGACCCGAAAATTTGAGTTTATGGCTCACTTGAGGGGAACAGCCGAAACATGTCTAAAGTTAATCTTTGACTATTAAGCCATAAAAAAATCCATGATAGCAAGGATAAAACGGTAGCTTTTACTTTGTAAATCGAAATTTAAATTTGCTCCTCATAATATCCTTTTGGCCGCCATCTCGAAATTCGGGGAAGGCTGAAAAGTTGCTCATATTCTTTTAACGTAAACAAATCTCGTTTTAACGTAGATTTAAAATATATTTGAACTAAAAACATGACTTCCGTTTATTCTAGTGCTTATATTATAACTACCTGACGTCCCATGTCAATCAACACCGCACGTTATTGGTCACTCAATAAGACCAGCAGTTCGCAATTTGTACAATAACTAGAAAAAAAAGTGAGGTCTAAAAAAATTGTTTCAGAAAAGAGTAAATATAATTTGTTCATGTTGTCCTTCAGCAGCATAATCAAAAAATATAAGGCTGTTCTAGTGAGGCCTATATCGCTGTTTATCCAATCTTTCCCCGTTCAACGGCATCATCAGGGATGGGAAAATATTCCGCGCGCACTATATGTATATGCGAAGAAGGTGTAGGGTGAAATGTGTCAAAGATGTGACGTATGTATGAAAGCCATAGAAATAAACTGTGAATGGAATACAACTCTCTAATGATGGAATGTCTCTAGACAAAGGACCTCTAAGAGCGCTAAAGAATGGTCTCTAAAATACTGAAATACTAAAATACTAAAATAGAAGGTCTGCGAATTCACTACATTCCTCCCGGGAATTGAGTTTAGGCTTGCACTTTCTTATATAAAATGCTTCATAAAGGCGTAGATTAGCGGGGTCGTTTTCGCTCATAATAATTTTGACCTCAATGTCTTTATAGTCTTTGTTCTGCCAAGGATAGATTTGTTTTTTGACAGAGGAGTTTTTATT